GCCAAAAGGCCGCTCCTTAACACGGTATATCAACCAGAAAGGAACTAGAGAAAGCTGGGGGACCAACTGATGAGCCGGACTCCTCCGAACTGTGTCAAGCAGCAGCAGAATACCGCAAAGCACGTATACGTGCCTTTTAGCTAGTACCTGGGCGGTTAATATGGAAAGTAACAATTCTCACCTATATGGGATTCCAGCCTTTCTTCTTGTAACCTGGTACATATGAAGTGTAAACGTGATCATATATGAAGCATGTAGACGGACTGTTTGTATTTAGCAACCAGTAAGTACAGGCCCACTTCAGATCATTTTGGCATTGGCTCATCATTGGAACAAGATGACAGACTATCGGAAGAGTACTGTAAATGTGACGAAAATCTGTTTTGCGAGGAACCAATTTCTACGCGACTCACGGTCGCTGGACGCAAACAGAAATCAGTCGCAACGAACGGCCTGTCGGTAGCCTTACTGGGGATAGAGAGAGAAAAGGGAACTGCCGTAAGTTAAGCAGCACAAGTCCTACTAGAATGATTTTGGTTATGTTACAGAGGCGGAAATCGTAATTGAGAAAGGCGCAAAATAACGTGTGCACGCGCGATGTAACAGGCCAAGCCGATAGGCAAATACACACAAGAAACCAGAAAGCCCATCAGCACGTGCTGCTTTATCGGGTACGCGTGAGCGCCTGGGTCACGATTGTGATCCAAATATGCGTTAACCTCCCGCGAGGGTATTCTGGCGAAAGAAACGACCAATCAGTGTGCGGCACACCGAAGTGTTGGATGTTCCAGAATGTGCTCCGTGATTGACGCGACATTGACCGGACAATTTGATAACGGCTACATCTCCAATAAATAAGCAAGGGTTGATAGGCTAGATGATGGAATTTTTTACAGGCCTTCCATAAGCGGGTCGTTTCCAAAAACCCGCGTTGACTTCTTCTCTATCATACCCGTCGGGATGTAACAGATTCAAAATCATTTTCATAACGTTATCATTTATCACACCAGTGTAAGGTAAATACTGAGAAAGTGCATGATCAGGTGAGAAAAGTGTTGTGAAGCCGACGCAAATCAAGGGAAACGTCCGATTTTTCGGTAGTAGGAAGTAATTCGCTTGGAGGCCTCCATGCTCACAAACGCTGATCGCAAAGTTGTTGACTGTTGTTCCTTCTTTGCAAGCCAAATGGGCAATTTGCTGCAGCGAACCTAACTACCTTCTACTATCCTACAGTCTCGTGCTCCTCCCAATTTTCTCCTTTGCCGTCTTATGATAAATACATTCTTATGGGTGACAGCTTGTTGGACACCCTCAGGGTGCAGTGAATGGAACCGACGATCGAGGGCAAGCAGTCTGCCTCCCCCCAGCAACAACGTGCTCCTTTCCATTTCTGTCATCGTCCATGCGCCCCGCGATTTGAGAGCGTTGTTTCTCTTTATGCCGTAGCTTGAACAGGAGGCTGCTTGGGATTCTGGTTCTGGCAGCCCGCCACCGCGGGATTGGCCGTCAGCCCACTGCGCTGTCGAGCTGGTTGATGCCACAGTCAAATATGTGCCCCAACAACAACAACAACAACGAGGGCAGTCTGAGAGCGATGCTGCGGAGGGTCTCCAAGCTAGAGAGAAGTCAATTGCGCTGCGCAGGGTAAACCTGAAGCTCAGTGGACGTCCAGATGAGCGAGTGGTGGGTATCGTTGGTCGTACGGGTGCCGGCAAGTCCACTCTGGCTGCTGCCCTCTTTCGTCTTGTGGAGGCGAAACGGGACGTGGTGGAGGACCATTCTGGCTGCGCGGATGCAAAACACCGTCCGGGTCCCATTTTCATCGACAATGTGGACATCTCCAAGTTGGGGCTTCATGAGGTCAGATCTCGATTGAGTATACTGCCACAGGTGGGTCCAAATTCACTTGTACATAGCACTGTTTCTCTCCGGCTTTTCATTGTTTGTGGCAGACTAATCGTTAATTCCAATCAAAACGGTCATTTATTCCTCATAATCTACCTAGTGGCGCGCTTTCGGAAATGCCTGGCTTATTATGCATGCACACAGTACTCTGTGATCTGACAAATGCAAGTAGGGGCCGTTAAAGTTTGCCAACATCTGTCAAGTGTTACCATAAGAGGGTGGGAAAGAAAGAGTGACTTGCACGTGGGTAGGTTTCAAGTGATATTAGACTTGGTCTGTGGGTCTTTCGCGCTCTCCCTCTTTCCCCAGCCACCTCTGCTCGCTTTCAAGACAGATTTTAGAAGACCGGAGGTGGGATTGGGTGCGGACGATACACACACAATATTGCCCCCGGCCGTGGTTTGATGCGGCTTCAACATGCATCTACGCGTGCGACAGCACACCACATGTTTGGCATTTTTTCATGCAAGCGCAACTTGAATAACGCCTGCCGTTATCGAATCAAGTCCCCATATTGTTTCTCCGCATCTACCACGTGGCCCGTTAAGGCAACCGCCTACAATACATTCCACAATCAGAACAGATGGGTAGACGCTTTATCCACCCGATCTCCATATGGATTTAGATAAGATATGAGGGTAAAAAAAGTTACTAGTGCACATGCTGGAGCTCCTGGAATTGTGTCCGCAGACTTACATCACATTAAATGACTAAATTTACGAGCAAAAAAGGGGATGCAGATGGGCTGGCCACTATTTGGGTGAATTTCGGAAGCGCTTATGTAGAGGTTCGAGCGTATGGCATTCAGCTCTTACCCCCTGCCCCCCCGAAAGTTCTGGGCCAGTCATCTTCAGGGAGGATTATAGCACAGTGTCACGTGTCCAACATAGATATCGAGTGACTGCAAAATCCACTTTCGGGAGCCATTTAACTGAAATTCG